GTCAAAACTTGTCAAGGAGGCGGGATTGTAGTACCGCCCCTTTTTCCGAAGCGATTTTCTCGCCTAAGAGTCCACATTTTTCGATCGGACTGGAACTGTTGTGTTAGTCAGGACACCAGTGCCATACTGCGTCAAGACTCCTACACCCCCCAGTTGACCTGGACAATGCCTTTAATACACATTACCTTATATCTCCTACTTTGTACCCATCTCATAAACATCGCAATCAGTCGCCATATCTCTGTGGTAAATCGTGATCTTCAGGTGTACGTCAACATTGACAAGAAAGAGGAGTTATGTTTTATGAATTCGAGAGGAGAAAATTTGCATACAAAGTAAGTTGTTACGAATTCTTTTTCACCTCAAATGACATAAATGCTTTAGAGGCTTGATGCCTAAAGAGATTCGTGAAGATAAGGAGCGTAGGTATTGGGAGTGCAGCCCTGAGTCCGGTACTTATATCAACCAAATCGCGGAGAGGTTTACTAGCACTGAATTTTTGTTGTTCGGATCTTTGATAGGTGTTTCAGAATAGTGTACAATGGGGGTTTTGGTCTCATCATTGATTATGGACACGATGGCTCGCGTAATGAATTCTCATTTCGAGCGTATAGTAAACATCAGTTGGTACGATTGCTCTAGCGTTGGTGTTTTGCTTCAACAGCATCATTTGCAGGTGAATCCGTTAAGCGAACCAGGATCCATCGATTTAACTGCTGACGTTGATTTCGGGTATCTCAAGTCTTTGATAGTTGACCGTACGGCAGTGTTCGGTCCTAACACGCAACGGTAAGGTGTTTCATAGGTTTCACAGGATCACCAAGTTTTTCCTTTCAGCGAGTTTCTGGCACAGTTGGGAGCGGGACTACGCCTGCGAAGGCTGTTGAAATCATGCAGCGATAGAGAAAAGCAAGAATATCTGATAAGTAAGTTTTAGCATGAAATTGGCGACTGCCACCTCGAAATCACTTTTACGAATTGGTATGTCCCAAATCTAGAGATAGCGCCATACTACTAGTAGTTTCTAGTAGTTCTCATATAAGCTGCTAATCTGCGTCGCAGGATAATTTTGGGAACGAAATATCTGAGCCATCGCCACATAAAGACACCG